AAAAACATTAAGAGAAGAAATCTCTTTAGTTTTAGGAAAATAAATCTTTTTGATTTAAAGGAATGTTTTCGAAAATAAATTGTTTGAAGAAAGCTAATTTTTCGAAAAATATTTTTGAGAGACAAAAAGATTTTTGTGCTCATATATGGATTTTCTCTCTATCTACAAAGTTTCCTAAATATCTAGCTACTAGGTTCTTCGAAATCTTCACACTCAATATAGGACTTGCCATGTATGATTTTCTTTCCAAAGAATCTCTGCATAAAATAAAATTAGCACAAATAACATAATTTTAAATTTATTTGTTTTGTATCAATCATCAAAATCCGAGATTTAGAGATTGACCCTTGAGCCAACATTTATTTATTTTGTATTAATCATCAAAATCCGAGATTTAGAGGTTGACCCTTGAGCCAACACAAAGTAGATAGATGTGTAGTTAGACTTGTAATTAGATATTAAAATAAATTGAGTAAAAATAAAATTCAAATTAATTCAAATATTGATAGCTCACGTTCAAAAAGATTTGATCAGATGAAAAGGGAAATTTCTTATTTGATATTTTTCAAATACTATATAATTCCATAGTTACACTATTTCTGCTAAATACAAAGTGTAAATAATCCAAATAAAGGTCATTCTCTCAAAATATCAAGGAAATAATATATTGAATAAATTTAATGTTATTTTCATTGCATTAAATTATATAATCTAATAAAATTTTAAGTACCATTCTCAATAACATAATTAAGATTTTAGATTGTGATTATATTTAAAGCCTGCAGGAACATCAAAATCTATAATTATACATTGTTGGGCACCAATACTGCAATATCAAATAGAAGGCAAAGCTTAGCCATTGAATGAAAGAATTATATTAATAAATAAAATAGAATTATATACAATTTCGCTTTTGAACACTCAATTCTGCAGATAGTAATCATCAAAAGTACATGTATTTAAACACTTTCTACAACCTTTCTTCAATTCAGGACACAACAATGAAAACCACCTTGGCGGCTTGGCCTTAGCTTGAAGAAGCTTGCAAGGAACTACCCCCACTGTAGCTGATAAATGGGCACAGATCCAAAAGTAGGGGTGGCCACGGTTCCGGAACCGGCGGTTTCAGTTCCGGAACCGGCTGTTCCGGTTCCAGAAAAACTGGAACCGGAACCGAACCGAAAAGGTCCGGTTCCGGTTCCGGTTTGGAACCGTCCGGTTCCAGTTCCGGTCCGGTGATAAAACCGACGGTTCCGTTCCGGTGATAAAACGACGGTTCCCCGATCGTGTTTTCCGGCGAATCGCATCAATTTTAAATTTTGAAGACCAGTTTTAAAAAAAAATATTTGAACGTAAAAAATTAAAAATACACGCTAAAAATTTAAAAATACTTCAATTAAATTTATTTTTTTAAAAGACTTTGAAACATAAATATTTTTTTAAAAAAAATTTTCAACTGAATTTATTTTTTGTTTAAAAAGTTTGAAAATAAAAAAAAAAAACTGGTCTGTTGGAGCCATTTCATTTTGGTTATATTATATCAACAAAAATGTGTCAACGGCTAAATGCCAACTGTCATAACATTTCACCGGTTCGAACTGGTTCGAACCGGCGGTTTTAACTGGCCAGGGAACCGGCGATTTCAGTCCGGTTCTGGCCGGTTTCGGTTCTAGAAAATTTAGAACCGGAACCGAACCGGAATTCTCCGGTTTCGATTCTAGTTCTCACCGGTTCCGGTTACGGTTCCGAACCGGTTCGAACCGACGGTTCCGGTTTCCAGAACCGTAATATGGCCATGTCTACTTTCTCCCCATACAAGATAATCCATCATTAACGTATGTTTGCTCTCTAATGATTATAAAGATGTGAGAATTCTGTTTATTCAGTTCTAATGATGAATGAATTGAAAGGAATTATGGAAAAGGACAAAGATACCCTTTGTCGTACAACTTATTTAAAGTTCTGAGATAAAAAAAAAAAAAAAAAAAAAAAAAGGCCGATTCTCTGGAGCCGCCAGTTTCGGTTCCAGAAAATTTGGAACTGAAACCGAACCGAAATTCTCCTGTTCCGGTTCCGGTTTCGGTTCGGCCCGATTCCAGTTCTCACCGGTTCCGATTACAGTTTCGGACCGGTTTGAACCGACGGTTCCGGTTCCAGGAACCGTAATATGGCCATGTCTGTCCAAAAGTAATTAGATGGTGTTGTAGCTAATGATGATCATATAAAGGAAAAGGATGATAATGACGATTGTGCAAGGATATAGTTGGGATTATGTTTTCGCATGGTTGGATCAGAGGGTTTAGCTTGGTGTATTTTCGTCGTCTCAATAGAACCCTATGTTGAACTTCTAGTCTAGCAAATAAAATCCCTACGTAAAATCAAAGCATATTCAACCCTATAAATGAGACAATTTGAAATTCTCTAAAACTCTGTATTGTTGATGATAAGATCCTATTGTGGGAGATAAATATGATCTAATATATAATTTGAAATTTTTATATTTTTAAAATGGAAAAATAATTGTGAAAGATTAGTTTAGATTTCAAAAGTTATCATTGTCATTATTAATTATTAATTTATGAACAACGGAAAAATAGGTAAGAAAAAAATTGAAAATTTGTAAAATAATAATTATTTATATATAAATTTAAAGTTTTATTTAGATTAGGTTAGATGATTAGATTACATTAAGTTTCAAAAGTTATCACTAATTAAAAAATTAATTAAGTAGACCAATCAAAATATAAAAAAATTAAAATTTTTTAAAAAAAGAAAAATAAAATACTGAACAGAGAAAATGCATTAAAGTTTCTCTTCGTTTCAACTTTCATATATATATATATATATAGATAATAATTTCAATCACTTTTTCCCGACAAAATAAATTTCTATAATTTACTCAATGTATATATCTTACATTTGAAATGAAAATTTTAAAAAGCTGACTTGGCGCTCTGCTTTTTGAATGTTTCTATTTTTACTTTTTTACAAATTTTGTAGGTTTTTAATATTTTTTTTTATAGTAAAGGGGAGTGTATTATTAACTCTGTAGAACATTCACAATACAAGAAGGAGGCTAATTATGTAGGGAAGTGATGAGTGGTCAAAGTAACTTGGATATTAGAGTCCTTGTCCCGACCCTTCACAGGTGCCCTTACACCTATGGAAGGTGCCATTGATTGCCTCGATGTAATATTTGATATATAAATAAGAATTACCATTTTGCCCCAATGTGCGATGTTGTACTATGCGTTGTTATGTGTTCCTCGATGATGTTTGAATTGTTTTTATATTCGACTCTATATGATTACATATCGATATTATGTTATTCTAACACCCATTATTGGTTTGCATATAACTGATTGATATCCTTGGTTGGCTTGTTCGGGGGTATTCCAAGCAAGTGCCACAGAGTCTAGTCTTGGTGCGTGACACGGGACCGTGACATTTGGTATCAGAGCATTGAATTGTGGATAAATTAAGGGATGAAAATGACAAAATCCTTCCTTGTTGAAGCTTTAGAGAAGCGGGTGGAAGAGCTTGCTGCTTTTATAGAAAAGAATGTTATTGTTGGTGAGCCAACGATTGCTCCTAAATGGCTAAAGGCCAAAGAGCACAATGAGGCGCTAGAGGAGAAAGTGGTGGAAATGCAGACCATGCTCTCTAAATTGAATCACTCGATTGATGCCTTGCGTCTCACTTTGGCCACTACAGATGGTGAGGTAGGAGATGGGGAGCGAGATCCTGCGTCGGCCACTCAGGGTAGTGAGGCAGGAGACAAAGAAAAGATCAAGAACCTTGAGACTACGGTGCAGACCTTGGTGGGGTTTCCAAGAGAGTTGGATGAGGTCCACACTGAATTTTGTGATTATATAAAGCCTATGGTTGATGAGGCCAAAACAAAGGTGAACGAGTTCGGCAATGAGTTGTCGAAACTGTCAGAAATGATGAAAGACTACAAGGTAGTCAAAGAAAAAGTCGACTTGCTTTCAATTGCCACTAGAAACGCAAAAATCCAACCTCTAAGAAATGGGAAAATAAAAATTCTAGATCCCACACCTTTCAAAGGTCTGTGAGATGAACGGGCAGTGGATAACTTCCTCTTCGATCTGGATACTTACTTTAAGGCTACGAATACCACCTCAGACGAAGAAAAATTAAGCCTCGTTCTAATGTTTTTAGCAAAAGATGGAAGCTATGGTGGCGCACCAAAGTTGAGGAGGTGTAAGTTGGCCAGATAGCATAGGCACTTGGGAGGAGTTTTGCCAAGTATTGAAATCAGCATTCTACCTTGAGAGAATAACATATAATGCTCGGCATAGGTTGTCAAAAGTATAGCATACAGATTCCATCCACGAGTACGTGCGACAATTCACCCAATGTATGCTAGATATCAAAACTATATCGAGCAACGATCGGTTATACTTTTTATGGAAGGACTACAGCCTTGGGCTAAGGAGCAACTGGATGCTCAGAAGGTCGACAACTATGAATCGGCCA